TTAGAGCGAAAAAATGATGCAACAAAAATAACTTTTAAGTAAAGCGTATATATTTTTTCTGTTGTTTTATAATGAAAATGAGAATAAATTCCTGATAGTAGATTTATTCTTTTTAGTATTATGTAAACACGAAATTTTAGAACAGAAAAATGCAATAGTTCTTGATATAGAAATTTGGATTAAGTATTTTTAAAGGTTTTATATTATTCAATATGTTTTAAATGTGTGTGCTTGAGAACTGAATTTATTAAAGCCTACAACATTAAATAGGATTAAATATTAATATTAACGAAATATCCCTTATTCCTCTTCTGAGACATATATGTAATTTAAAGCTTTAAAAATAGATTCTTCTAAAATAAGAAAAAAAACCCTTTATTCAATTCCTATAAGTAGTCTATGATCACTTATGTTTCTGTTGAATAACAAGGCATTATAATTTTTATTAATGAATATCTTTTTTATAGTTAATTTTATGCATGCATATAAAAACAATGAACATGGAATATTTTGAGTGTAGATGATATATAGTTTCATGTGGATAAGTGGAAAGTTCCTTCTGTCTTTGTTCTAAATGACCAGAGAATATTTTTAAAAAAGGAGTCCAAATAACATTCCTTACAAATGGTTATTTATGGAAATGCGTAAAATAATGGAAAATAGCGTAATTTATTCACAAAAAAATATTCTATATTTAAATGTTTGAGAAAATAATATTTAATTTGGTATTTTTGTGAAGTTAGGAAAACTTACAAACATTATTTATTTTAAGCAAGAATGTTAAGCCTAAGTTTTACATCAAAATTTTTTGACTTTTATGTTTAATGGAATTTTTGAATAAATCATGCTTTTTAATTAGTCACACATCATGAAACTCCTACGATATGAGTTTACGATATCCTCCTACGAAACTCCTACGATACGAAGTAAGAATGTTTTGAAAAAACTAAAGTGAAATAAAGCTTAAAAGCTCTGTAATTGCATTTTTAAAATCTTGGCCGACGTACAATCACTAATAGTTTTATTTGAAATGCTATATGAGTAGAATTCTGTACACGAGAAATAAGTATATTAAAATCTTACTAATTCAAAACAAAGATTTGAAGCAGTTGCTCAAATTTAAGACCAACAGGTAATTGTTCAAAATGCGTGCTGCGTATAATGAACAACAAAGATCTCCCGAAACTTTAACAGCTGTTTTTATTTACCTTATTCTGGTAGAGACTTTCTGCAAAACAAGACATTAACGGAGCTGAAGTTTTTAAATTCCGCGTCTTGCATTAACAAATTTTCTCAGGTAAGCTGCTTCTGAACAACTCTCAAGAAGAAAGAGTCATAAAAGCGTAACGCATCCATTTTTTTCTTTTGGGGAATAGAGAGCAGTTTCTATCGCTACACAAGTTCGGAAACTTGAATACTCTCCAAGAAAATGTTTCGATAATATTTTCTTGAGGTTGTCAATACTTTGATACTTTCTGATAGATGAAATGTTAGGAAGAGATTACAAGAAACAACGTATATATTTTAAAGCAGTTATTAAGATAATTCTAATTTGAAAAGTTTGAAAAATGTTTCTCTTTACAAAACTTTAATCTAAGAACTGGAAATTTCATATCAATTTAGAGCATTACATAATGCTAATATCTATGAAGTACTTAATATTTTGGATATAGAGCCATTTAATAAAAAATGGGAAGCACTTACTAATTTTATTACCTCATTTAAGTGTGTCACGCAGTTTAATTTTCTTTTTATCTGTACTTTTTAAGGCATGAATTTTTAATAAACATAATCATTCAAAATTATGAAGAATCAAGTGACCAAGAATTAATCCGTATTTATATTATGCCTTAAGCGGTCAATTTTTCCCCCAAAATGTTTCAAACAGGCGCACCTTTTTTTAATGCATATAACCAAGTATAATACTTAACAGAATGTGAAAATGGAAAAATTGCATTTTAATTTTCAATTTTAAAATTTCCACGCTATTTTTTATTTTATAATTGTAAAACACAAAAACCCTAAATGTTTGAATTTTATAAGTACTATCTTCGTCCTATAAATAATATTTCATATAACTTAAAATGATTTCTTTCATATTAAAAAAATTCATATTCGTTCATATATATAAATATATGAATGTATATGAAATTTTTATTTAAATATGAGAGAAATTATTTTGCAATTTAAATTTTTTTCAGTTTTTTTTATTGAATATTTCTGTATCTTTAGAAGAGAATTTTGACTATATATATATATCTATATATATTCACTCATAAAGTGCACACAATTTGAAGCATGGTGTAATACTCAGTCTTACATTGCTATGGAGGTGGAGATAATATCGCCTTTTTTATGTTATCTTTCTATTTATTTTCGAGCAACAAATTGCGCATTGCTTTGCAATTCTTGTTAATTATCGAATGTTTTCAAGAATCTAAATCCCTGTCTTCAATAAAATTTTCCGTATCAACACCAAGAAATCCCGGATGATAAGTATTTCAGTACCATGGAAAAATTACACATCTTAAAGACTATAGCACTAATAATCTCAATATAAGAATTAAAGTATGTGCAATTCAAAGATAGAAAGAAGAAAATATCAGTGGTCGTACAGTGTACGGGCATACCGTTTGTGACTAGCTTTCGGTAGCCCGTACGGTGTACGGGCAAGCCAGTTAAAGGGTTAGAATGCCTTTTATATGCAGTAATTTTAACTTTTTTTCTAGTAGCATTTAACCATGTAAGTCTTGTTTAAACATAAATATTTATTATGCGTATAATGTTTATTGAAAGATATTTTTTAGGAAAAAATTCTAATATACTTATTACTTAAAGACAAAAACTTCCTTTGTAAATAAATGTTACAGAAGTTTTTAATTAAAAAAATAAGTCAGCCGGGGGAATAAGTAAGCTATCCATTTTCAATAACTGCGTTCAATTGAATATTATATTTGTAATGAGATCAGCAAAATTGGATAAAAAGACGAGGATAAATTCAAAATCTTTTATAAGCCATTAGTTTTTTGCTCAATAGTTTCCTTTAACCCAATTAAATTAATTTTTTTTTCTTTATCTGAAGTTAATTTTTTAGCATATTCTCTTACATGGAATAAAAAGTTTCATAAACAGGTATTAAAAAAAATCTCATGAATATAATTCTGATTTAATTTTCAAACAAATAGTTTTCCGACTGAAATATTGGTGTTTTTAATCTTAACAAGATATATGATGCAGCTTCAGACAAACCGAGTACGTTAAGAACTTGAAATTTTTAACCTATGTGGTAAAATGATATTGAAACATATTTCACATAAAACAAAGAAACTAAACAATAGCTTTTAAAATTGCAGTAAAGTAATTAAAATTTTTGTTTAGCTTCAATATTAGAATTAGAAAAAAAGAAATATCTTAGCCAAATGTAGTTTTTTTTAATTTAGAAAAAAAGAGAGTTCAGCTTATACTCTTTTACATCTAATCCTATCCAAATTGAAATGGAAAACGAGAATATGAAATATTTTTTTATGGTATGTGTACCCAATCTCTATTTTCAATAATCAAACAAACTGGTTGGATTAAGGAAAAAAATAAACGTGTGCATAAAACCGGAAAAAAACTTTATTCCTTAAGTTAAAAAAGGCAATTTAGATAGAAAAAATCCCAAAATATCCTTCCTCAGCTGTTTGCTTTTATTGTCCTTTACTACTTTCTAGGAGACTAGATTAACAATTTTCTTTTTAATACTTAAAAATTCTTGGTAGTTGATAGTCTTTTTTCTCCTTAAATTAGTGCTTCTCAAACTTTCAATACTTGCGACCGAATTTCAATCATAATTTTCCTCGCGCCCCCCCTCCATAAAATAACAATGTATTGATTTAAAAAATAACGTACTAAAAGCTACATGCTAAAGCTACAATATGACTTTAATTATAAACCGTACAAACTATCAAGATAAGTATATTAAATTTTGTGTATAATTTTGTATATGGCAGGCCCATGGGAGTCATTAATAATTATTAATCTTGTTCTTAACTTAGTATGGATAAATTAATTATCAAATACATTGTGCAATGCAGATGCATTAATACGTATATTATGTGTATGTGTGCAAATGTGTATTTTACTTTTTTATTATGTAAGAATGTATTTGTTTTGCTTCCTTTCAGTACATTTGCCATTTTTCAAAACTTTTATTTTTGACTTTTTGATATGCTCGCGCCCCCTTCTAGGGTTATCACGCCCCCCCCAAGGGAGGCGCGCCCCACAGTTTGAGAAACGCTGCCTTGAAGATAAATGTATTGAAATACAGTACGTTTTTTTTTTTTCAAATCATTGCAAGCATCTAAAAGTTTGTTAAAACGTCGCTGACAGAAACGAAGTAATATGACGAGACACTCAAACGTTATATTCAATCTTAAATAAAGTTTGCGTGATCTCGGCTTTCTGAGATGACAATTTCAATTTCGTTATAGAATGCAACATTTCGTGTATTTTGAAAAGATACGAGAATGTTTAATTTTCTTTTAATTTCAGGAATCTTGAAATTTAAGAGTTATAAAATATAGCTATTGCCTTGACTGTAGCGAATTTAATTCGTTAAAATATTTTTGCATGTCGTATAGGAATATGGAATCGTAACGTTAGATTTCCTTACCAGATTTATTTTTATACATTAGATTCTAAATTTTGAATACACGCGATAACATTTAAAAAAATATATAATAATATAAAAAAAATTTTAAGTTAATTCCTACTTAGGTCAACAATGAAAATTTTTATTTTAGTTACATTTTATTATATAGCTGCAATTAATATAAATATGTATATATACATGATAGAATCACAATATTAAGTGACAAAATAGAAAGCTATTTTCCCTGCAATTTTCCGTTTTCCTTTCTTACATATGGTGTTGGACTATTTTTGCTCGCTTGTAATAAATTTAACTATTCTAATAAAACAGTATTGCAAAAAAGAAAGCACATTCTCAGAAATTAGGCCATCACAGGTGGGATTCAAACCCACGACCTTTAAATTAGAAGTCTAACGCGCGCGCTATCCATTGCGCTACAGGGGCACAACGAGCAATTTTTCTTTCTATATATGCTGCTGGACTATTATTTTGGTTTGTTACTATTTAGTCATCTTTTAATTTAATTAATGAATTAATATTTGAAAAAAACTGTATTAACATCAAGTGTCATCCACTACAAGTTTAAAAAATGTATTTGAGCTTGAATGAACGAATAGAAAATATTTTATTAACGATTGAAAGTTTAAAAGATATATATATATATATATATATATAGGGAGAGAGTGAACTAATAATTGGAACTGAATAATAAAATAGGTTTTTCATAATTTTTTGGTACTTTTATATAATAGAAATAAGTTTAGTATTTTCGTAAATAATAGTGAACTTCACATTATGTAAAACTTGTAATTCAAATAACAACTTAATTGTTTAACATTGTAATTGTTCAATAGATATAAAAAAATGGACCAGATTTTATTTATAACACCCTTCATAGATAAATATGTGAATAAGACAAATGTAAGGATTATAGCATAAACTATAAATTACATACTTTTTTCTGCTCCTATCACTTAAGAGTTTAAGTTAGAATCTGTGTAAATATATTATTCTTCAGTAGTCACTAGTATTTTACCAATCCCTCTTTTTTTAGCGTAAAATTTTAGTTTCTAGAATTATAACACTATGATTCTTAAGTAATATTTAAAATATAATTGTTCATATACATAATATTTTTCTTTACCAAATGAAGGAAATATTCACTTAATTTCCTTTAAACAAACTAAACGAAAACCTCCTCTCTATTAGAACAACTTTATGCATGTAATTTTATTCTGAAAGGGAATAGAATAGTTGTTTGTGATGAAAAAGAAACATAAGCGAATTTATTATTCTGTGTGGTAATCGAGGGGGGGGGGGACTTTGAATATTTCTAGGGCACATCATAGATAATAAATCATAATGGAAATATCATTTGATAAAGTGACTATTCATAACAAAACTCTTTGCTTAAGATATAGAGTTCATTCTTTTTAATCACGAGAAGCTATTGTTTCATAAAAAGCTCTTGGTTTTAATTCCTTAAGTCAACGTTTCTCAAACTGTGGGGGCGCGCCCCCTAATGGGGCATGATAACCTTACGTAAGAGGCACAAGCACATCGAAAAGTCGAAAATAAAAGATTTAAAAATATTATTAATTTACTTAAATGAAGCTAAACTAAATACATTCAGACATGATAAAAATGAAATATATATTCACACTGATACGCTTATAAATATATCAATACAGCACAATGTATTTGAAAATTAATTTAACAATACTAAGTTAAAAAAAATTAATAATTACTAGTGATCCCATGGGGTTGTCATATGTAAAATTATGTACACAATTTAACACTTATCTTGATAATTTGTGCGGTTTATTAATAAAGTCGTATAGTAGCTTTAGTCTCAAAGTACATTATTATTGAATTAAATACATTATTATTGAAGGGGGGGAGGGGAGGAGGCAAGATGAAAGATATGATTGAAATTTAGGTCGTCAATATTGAAAGTTTGAGAAGCGCTGCCTTGAGTAACTATTTTACAAAAAATCTGCTAAAATAATATCGTACGATATTTTAAGAGATCTAAGCTACATTTTAAATAGTATTTATTTCAATTATTATTTTGATTTCTGACTGTCATGTAAATTTATTGGGGCGTTTAACTAAAAATATCATTAGCAATTGAAAAAAGTGGGCTTTAATTTAAATTCTAAATTACACACTCGAAGTTCTTAAAATTTTCTATTCAAGTTTATTTAAAAAATAACTATATATAATAACATTAATAAATGGTGTCTTTTCTGATAGGCTAAATTAGGGGCTTAGAAAATAATTTAAGCCAAGAATTAACCATGTAATTCAGAAAGAAATTGTTGCAAACTTTTTTATTTATACTTTTTCTGTATGTAATACTTTCGTCATATAGTTTTTCATTTTAACTGCACATTTATGAGCCATGCAATTGGACTATAATTGGATGACAATAAACTAAATGTAAAATCCTTAAAATCAAAATATTTTTTATTAAGTATAAAGGAACACAAAAAAATGAATAATGTTTTAAAGAAGAAAAATGCATTTTTGAAATTTTTATGATAGGGATTTAACCAAGCAAGATCATTTGCTACTTTTATTTAATTTCGTGAAATCTTCTTCCTGAAAATGGAGTTTACTTTTGAACCAAACGGATTTCCTGTCTTAAAATTATGCATTATTTACAGATCGAGAGAGATCACGTTTTGCAATACGAAATGCTTGCAAAATCCAGCCGAACTTTATTTCAGATATATTTTGCGGTATTACTTTTGCACGTGACACCGTGCAGCAGTGAAAATGTCTCTATAACAAAATGAGTTCGCACTTTTTGAATTCATATAGAAACTTTATAAGTATAACATTTAACTCAAACTTCATTTTTTCACACATAAATTTTAACTACTAAAACCTCTAAGGATCTAATCACTAGATTATTTATCCTTTATAGTTAAATATAACGGGATGGAGGAAATTTATCATCTATATACTTAGTAGAGAAAATATTATACCACATACAGTTTTTTAGATAAATAAAAAGTAATTTATGCATTTATACATAGTAAAATTGCTTTTGAACAAATAAGGTAACCTTTAAAGGAAATAAAGGAAAAATAAATTTTTATTTTTTTCTTAAAAAAATGACATTTGAGAAAAAAAGTAGGGAGATTGTAGAGTTTTAAATTTTTTTCGAGAAACTCAATAATTTAAAATATGAAAAATTTAGTGATCAACATGATGCAAAAATAAGCATTTAGAAAATCGTGATATTTTCAAATTTATTTAAAATTAATTTTCTGCCGTTAATAATTTACCATAGTAGTGAACATAAGATAGATCAAAGCTATTTTTTTAAATATTTTAAGGAACGTTCCTGAAGTTTTCCACCATTATGATCAAAAATTCAGAGGACATAAATTTTTAAAATTGTAAAGGAAACGAATAAAAAAAATCACATTTAAATTTGCAATGTTACATTTGTTTTAGCATTGTTTCTTAAGGGATGTTAAAGATTTTGAGAGAAATCTTGGTAGAAACAAATAAGAATTCAAGCACATTTTAAATTAGTTTTTACTTCTATTTAATTTTACTTACCGTTATTTCAATTCTTTTCATATTTTCGGATAATAAAGTTATGTTGATAATATTACTAATATTGAATTTTAGTATAAGGTGTACAGGTAAGTTAATTTTTTATATAAAAATTGGGGCTTTAGTGTGCGAAAATTGCTTTCAAATTGATTACTCAAAGTATTATTCATTTCTATTCACTAATGTTTCTCATCTTTCTGTCAACATACCGAGTACCGCATTGAGAGAGCTACTAGTATTTACAGTCTATCCATGAATCGACTCACTTTTTTTTCTATTTCTTGTAATAACGGAAGTAATGAAAGTATAAAGCAATGAGTCATTGAACGAAATATGAGGTAGTCTGAAGTAAAAATGTTTGAAGTATACGTTGGTGGGTAAATATATACTATTGAATGTTTGCAAGTAGTTTTAAACTGGCACTGCAAAATGTGATTTAGAAATTTGTGTTGCAAAACCGAACTTCCCACAGTTTCTTATGTTTTGGAATGTCGTAATGAATACACTTTTCATCCCCATAGTTACAATTAGACACAAAATGACACACACACAAATCCTTACACTTATGTTCTTAGAGCAGCTATTCACTCAAATAAAAAAAAACTTTCCACGTTTCTTAGCTTTAATTCGTTTGATGCCCAATTTCTTTATTGTTAGACTATTTCTATGATTGAGGCATAATGAAATTGCTTGTTAAATCACATCCAAATATTCTATAATTCTTCTTGCACTTAACACGAGTATTTGATCAAAAGCATCTCCAACTCTGCATTTAAACATTTGGTGTCTTCCTTCACTTTCCTTATCCTTCGCGTCAAAATCACGATTTTCGGACCCTCTAGACCAGTACTTACAAGTTGAAATTGATGAAACATGACCCCCATGAGCCTCAAACAGCAATCGGTAAACCTTCAGCTCCTTTTGTTCTTCAAATGGAAAAAGAAAAGCATAGTTTCCTTCATACTGTCTTTCGTTTGCACAAAAGCCGACATATTTCGTGTCTAGAAAAATTATGCCGTTTACTATTCGACAAAATAAGACGTTCTGAAAACAAAAACCTATTGATGATGCTTTAACACGAGAGTGGTTAGGTTACGATATGCTGCAATTTAACACAAGTAACTCCCTCTTTGCAAGTCCTTTAAAAACTTACTTGTGGTCTCAATAATTTTTAAAACTTACGGTAGCTGAAAAAGTAATTTTTATCATATTGTTTAAACATTAAAAATAAAGATCTGGATTAAAAAATAAATACATAAGATTTTTTTCTAAGTAGTTTTAGACAGTTCCATATACACTCATGTCCATAAATTAAGGATAATTCAGAATCACACAGAAATTGAATTCTAAAATAAAAATTTCACCTGTAAATTTATCACACACATCTTGAAGAAGAATATGCAAATTACAGGAAACCACCAGATGGCGTGGATAGTACGTCACGATGACAAGAGTGTAAGAGAGGGGTATATAAGAAATGGTGGCAAAGAAGTAAAATTGTTCACAAGCACTTTAAAAGCTTTTCAGTGCAATAACCGCATAGTTATGGCACAAATGAAGCATTTGGATGATTTTTTACGTGGTAGAAATATTGAACGACTGAAATGTGGACGTACCCAGCGGGAAGTATCCGAGGAACTTGGAATCGCCCAGAGTGTCTTTTCCAGGATTTGGTAACGATTCCAAGATGATGGTAATGTGAGTAGATGTTACAGCACGGGTCACCCCCGAGTTGCAACGCCGAATGAGGACCGGTATTTGGCAAATACTGCCAAAAGAAACAGACGGAGCACAACATCAGACCTATCTCGTCAGCTCTCTTTAGCTACCGGTACAACAGTTTCAAGGCAGACCGTGTACAGACACTTAGG